TTTGCCGCCACCGCCCACGCAGCCCAAGGGCAAACGTGCAAAGAAGGCGTTGTCATGGACATGCACATTGGGGAAGCAGGCGACCCATTGACAGCTTACATTGCATTAACGCGAGTCCAAGACAGGTATGGTTTGTTTGTGTACCGACCGTTCCCTGCAGCACCATTTCAAAAAGGGGCAAAAGTAGGGCGGGAATTGCTGTTGCGGTTCTGGGGTGGTGAAAAAATGGATTGGAGGGCGCTGCGAGCAAAATACCGAGACGAAAGACAATGCAAAGAATGTAATGAAGCAAAGCCGGCGTCTGCATTCACGGCTGGTCGATGGAAACGAGCAGATGCGGCGAGAGTATGCAAGGAATGCATTCGTAGGCACGTTGAGGCGCAGCAGCCGTGGCAATGCATGGCCTGCACGGCGTGGAAACAGGAAGATGCATTCAAGACAGAACATGCAAGGCCACAAGCCACATTTTATCGTATTTGTAAGACGTGCGAACAGACACAAGTGTGTAGTGTTTGCAATACGCGCAAGGACGAAAAGAAATTTTCTGGCGGGGCCTGGAAACGAGCACGCAGGGGCGGTAGAGTGTGTTTAGATTGTTCGGGTAAAGCATGGGGCTGGTGGAGATGCAGCGTCTGCAAGGTAAAGCAAGCAGCGTGCGCTTTTGAATCCTGGCTGGCGCAACATCGTTCTTGTAATGGTGACCAAGTCTGTAGCAACTGCTGGCAGTGCCCCATTCCCCGGGGAAGCATCAGCAAAGCGGTACAGCGGGTAGCGGCAACGCAGGCGAAAGTCGCGCGGAGGGCAGCGGAAGAAAAAAAGGCACGTGCCATCGCTGATGTCTGGGCTGCCATCGCGGAACGAAAACGGAGTAGAGAACAGGACTGCGGGGAAACGAAGGAAGCAGAACCGAGGGCATCACAGCACAGACAAGACGAAGGAACAGAAATGACCACAGAAGGGCCTGCAGATGTGCGTGGCAAACAGCAGAAGGTGGTGCGCCCGGCGAATGGCTGGGCTGCCACCGCGGAACGGAAACGGAAAAAAGAACAGGAGAGCACCCAAGCGGAGGAAGCTCCGCCGCGCGCAAAGCAACGGAAAGAAGACCACGGAACAGAAAGAACCCCGGACACAGATGCAGAAATGAGGAGCAGACAGCAGAAGAACGCCTGGGCGACGGAGACGGTGACGCTAGTGGCAAATGAAGCAAATGCAACGAGGAAAAGCCAGAGTTTCGAATATGTTTGTCCCGCTTGCCAAAAGTGTGTGCGGAGCAGTATACGCACGGGCCAGGTCAATCACGAGCGCACATGCGGCAACCGTTTCCGGGTGAAGGACGCGCAGGTCGTTACGAAAGCATATGTTTACATTTGCCCCGGTTGCAAAGGGAATGTGGCCAGTGATGTGAAGACAGGGAAAATAGACCATCGAACCGTCTGTGGGACCCAGTTTTCTGTGAAGGACGGCCTGGTGAATGAGAAAGCATATGTTTACATTTGCCCCAGTTGCAAAGGGAATATTGCCAGTGATGTGAAGACAGGGACAATAGACCATCGAACCGTCTGTGGGACCCGATTTTCTGTGAAGGACGGCCTGGTGAATGAGAAAGCATATGTTTACATTTGCCCCAGTTGCAAAGGGAATATTGCCAGTGATGTGAAGACAGGGAAAATAGACCATCGAACCGTCTGTGGGACCCGATTTTCTGTGAAGGACGGCCTGGTGAATAAGAAAGCATATGTTTACATTTGCCCCGGTTGCAAAGGGAATGTGGCCAGTGATGTGAAGACAGGGAAAATAGACCATCGAACCGTCTGTGGGACCCGATTTTCTGTGAAGGACGGCCTGGTGAATGAGAAAGCATATGTTTACATTTGCCCCGGTTGCAAAGGGAATGTGGCCAGTGATGTGAAGACAGGGAAAATAGACCATCGAACCGTCTGTGGGACCCGATTTTCTGTGAAGGACGGCCTGGTGAATGAGAAAGCATATGTTTACATTTGCCCCGGTTGCAAAGGGAATGTGGCCAGTGATGTGAAGACAGGGAAAATAGACCATCGAACCGTCTGTGGGACCCATTTTCTGTGAAGGACGGCCTGGTGAATGAGAAAGCATATGTTTACATTTGCCCCGGTTGCAAAGGAAATGTGGCCAGTGACGTGAAGACCGGGCGAGTAAATCATCAAACGGTTTGTGGGAAGAAGTTTTGGGTGAAGGACGGCGTTGTGCAGAAGAAAGGCGACAAACGGCACGCGTGAACGCCGAGAAGAACGGCCGGTTGTGAAGCTTTTGGGAGTTTGAGACTTGGCAAACGGCAGCCTTGAATGCCCAGAATTAAAAGCCGTGATTGAGCTATTATTGCTGTGGCCTTCTCGGGTACCTGTTGGGGTCGCTTTTGCGGCCGTGGGGTGCCCTTGAGCCATTGCTGTGGCCTTGTGGTGGCTTTTGCGTGCGGCAGTGGCGCGTGTTGGGCTTGTTGGGGTACCTTTTCCCTGCGGAGCTGGCCGGACTTTTGGAGGGTTTTGGAGGGTTTTGGAGCGTTTGAGGCCTGGCAAACGGCAGCCTTGAACGCGTATAAGAAGCCATTGCTGCGGCCGTGGGGTGCTCTTGAGCCATTGCTGTGGCCTTGTGGTGGCTTTTGCGTGCGGGCAGTGGCGCGTGTTGGGCTTGTTGGGGTACCTTTTCCCTGCGGAGCTGGCCGGACTTTTGGAGGGTTTGGAGGGTTTGAGGCCTGGCAAACGGCAGCCTTGAACGCGTATAAGAAGCCATTGCTGCGGCCGTGGGGTGCCCTTGAGCCATTGCTGTGGCCTTGTGGTGGCTTTTGCGTGCGGAGTGGCGCGTGTTGGGCTTGTTGGGGTACCTGTTCCCTGCGGAGCTGGCCGGACTTTTGGAGGGTTTTGGAGGGTTTGGAGGGTTTGAGGCCTGGCAAACGGCAGCCTTGAACGCCTATAAGAAGCCATTGCTGCGGCCGTGGGGTGCCCTTGAGCCATTGCTGTGGCCTTGTGGTGGCTTTTGCGTGCGGGAGTGGCGCGTGTTGGGCTTGTTGGGGTACCTTTTCCCTGCGGAGCTGGCCGGACTTTTGGAGGGTTTGGAGGGTTTTGGAGGGTTTTGGAGGTTTGAGGCCTGGCAAACGGCAGCCTTGAACGCGTATAAGAAGCCATTGCTGCGGCCGTGGGGTGCCCTTGAGCCATTGCTGTGGCCTTGTGGTGGCTTTTGCGTGCGGCAGTGGCGCGGGTTGGGCTTGTTGGGGTACCTTTTCCCTGCGGAGCTGGCCGGACTTTTGGAGGGTTTGGAGGGTTTTGGAGGGTTTTGGAGCGTTTGAGGCCTGGCAAACGGCAGCCTTGAACGCGTATAAGAAGCCCTTGCTGCGGCCGTGGGGTGCCCTTGAGCCATTGCTGTGGCCTTGTGGTGGCTTTTGCGTGCGGCAGTGGCGCGTGTTGGGCTTGTTGGGGTACCTTTTCCCTGCGGAGCTGGCCGGACTTTTGGAGGGTTTGGAGGGTTTGGAGGGTTTTGGAGGGTTTTGGAGCGTTTGAGGCCGGCAAACGGCAGCGTTGAACGCGTATAAGAAGCCATTGCTGCGGCCGTGGGGTGCCCTTGAGCCATTGCTGTGGCCTTGTGGTGGCTTTTGCGTGCGGCAGTGGCGCGTGTTGGGCTTGTTGGGGTACCTTTTCCCTGCGGAGCTGGCCGGACTTTTGGAGGGTTTGGGGGTACCTTTTCCCTGCGGAGCTGGCCGGACTTTTGGAGGGTTTGGAGGGTTTTGGCGCGTTTGAGGCCTGCAAACGGCAGCCTTGAACGCGTATAAGAAGCCATTGCTGCGGCCGTGGGGTGCCCTTGAGCCATTGCTGTGGCCTGGTGTTGCGTGGGGTGCCTTTTCCCTGCGGAGCTGGCCGGACTTTTGGAGGGTTTGGAGGGTTTTGGAGCGTTGGAGGCCTGGCAAACGGGAGCCTTGAACGCGTATAAGAAGCCATTGCTGCGGCCGTGGGGTGCCCTTGAGCCATTGCTGTGGCCTTGTGGTGGCTTTTGCGTGCGGCAGTGGCGCGTGTTGGGCTTGTTGGGGTACCTTTTCCCTGCGGAGCTGGCCGGACTTTTGGAGGGTTTGGAGGGTTTTTTGGAGGGTTTTGGAGGGTTTGAGGCCTGGCAAACGGCAGCCTTGAACGCGTATAAGAAGCCATTGCTGCGGCCGTGGGGTGCCCTTGAGCCATTGCTGTGGCCTTGTGGTGGCTTTTGCGTGCGGCAGTGGCGCGTGTTGGGCTTGTTGGGGTACCTTTTCCTTGCGGAGCTGGCCGGACTTTTGGAGGGTTGAACAGCAAAGGCTGCCGGCCAGAGGGCGTGGTGGCAGCTGCCTCGAATGCCCTAACGAGAGAGGGCTATGTGCGCGGAAAAGTTCCACACCTGCGGTGGTCCCAGGCGCCGCCCCGGCCTTGGCGAAGGCCGGGGTCGGCGGATAAGTAGACAAGTACAAAGCGATCCCCTAGCCGGCTTTAGCCATGTGTGACATTGTCCGAGAAGGATTTATTCGTCCCTCTAGTTGTGATCCAGCTGACAAGTCCTGGTTGCCACCCACCTCTTTTTATTGTCGAGCTGTTGTGCCCAACCATGATGATTTTCACAAAAGTGATATGGAACGTCTTATTAAGATGTGTGGGAAGTACGGTGGCGCCCTCAGTGATCGGCCTGTATGTATTCTTGGAGAAGCATTTTCGAGACAGGCTCACATTCGTACCCCACAGGGTGGAGTCATGGCTGACCACATGATTGCTATGGTAGTAGATCAGTACATGGAGCTGATCAGCGATGGGCCTTCCGATCTCATCTTTCGAAGATTACGTATGTTGCGGTGATCCTACATGAGAACAAATTAAGATAGTTTAAAGTTTAAAGACTGACTAGTCCATGGAGTTGATATCTCCAGTGACCGTGTAGTGGATTACCACTTTATTCCACTTTATTGCAGAGCAAGTGGGCAGCAGTTGCGACCCCCTTGCCCCCTCTGTTTGCTCGCACTACCGGTGCCTTGCCGGTCGCAGCTCCTGGATGTCAGCCGAGCAAGCCGCTTGACGGCCCAGCTGCTCGAAGATCGCCGCATCACACAGGGCTATTCTTTCTGGGGGAAAACGCAAACGGTAACATCAAAAACAATGAGATAGCCGCTGAATTGGGACGAGTCATCTTCTGAGGAAGTTTCACAGAATGGCAACCAAGATAGGCCTTCCACAATAACAAAAAGGGTTTGATTCGTTTTCCCCATGAAACCCTACCAGCTTGTGGCACGTCTTGTGCCTGGTGATACCATTTCTTTTGATACACCCAGGGTCCATCATAAGCCGTTACCTGGAAAAAATCCCAAAACAGCTGGACTCCGCTGACCATGGCCAATGGGGCATCTCCCTCCATGTAACTGTTACCTACTTGGCTCCACCAGTCGTGAACCATCTGGACATTGTGTTGTTGATATCTACGAACCAGTGTAACTGGAAAAGTCCAAAAAGCCGGTGCAGTAGGTTGTGCTGCCAAACCAACTGGAAGGGGTCTAGGCTTGGGTACCGGCATAGTTCCCTTGGCTTGCTCCGCCATGTGGGCCTTGCGACCCGACTTCAAGAGAACCAACAGAATTGCCCTATGCAGCTGCCTGCTCAGCTGCAACGCACTCGCCAATCCCTTCCATGTCTCCCAGAAAAGCGGTTCCCTTGTGTCATTGATCTTTGCCGCTGCTCGGTCTGTAAGCTCATTGTGCCAATACGCCCATTCTTCCACCGGTGATGTAGCCTTGTCGATACTGCAGTGAGAGACAACCTTCATCAGTTGTACATTGTCCAAGAGTCCCTCCTCAAAAAGCCCTTGGATTCTCAACCAAAGATCTGAGTGCGCACGATTTACACGCACCGGGACACCTCGTTTCACCTTGTTAACTCCACGTAGGACTCCCCAGGCAATCGGTCCAGATGCGCACTTTCTGCGCTCGTTCTTTGGCCCACTGGAGAGCTGCCATCACTGCCGTGATATTCTGCACGAAATGGCGTCTGACATAGACCTTGTACATGGCCTCCAAGCACTACCTGGTTGTTCAAACTGCCAAGTTGAGCCACTGTTACAGCCCATGCTGCATACCTCAGTTTCGGTTCCTGTGGGTTTGCTGCTGTTCCATCCACAAACAACTCAACCGTATGGGAGGGGTCTGTCTGGCACTGGTTAATGGGGGACATGCATGAAAACCCATGATCCTGAACCAACCACCTGGCATAGACTTCCCATTCTGGCAAGAGGACCGCCCAACCATGAGAAGTCAAACAACGTGGCAAAGCTGGGATTTGTGCAAGCTGTTCAGGAGTCATATGAGTGCAGCAATCTGCAAAGTAGGGACAAGTCCAAGCCCTATGGAAAAAACCATCTTTTTCTGCGCACCAGGGGCATTGGCCACTGACATCGGACTGGAAATGAGCCCTGCCATTCTGAGTGTAGAGCGTACCATCTAAATGACACCTGAGGTAAACCTGGTCAGCCGTGCCAAACTGAGCTAATACACTGGTGACTGCCTGTGGGTCGGCCAGCTCAATACCTTGGAAAGACGCTCTGTGTGCAACTTCTTGGCCCATGACATGACCCCAAGACATGGCAACCCTTTGGTACAGCTCGTCCCATCCTACTTGCATCAGACTGAACACCCCATACCTATCCTGAACCAACCCATTTGTGCTCACTGCCCATCCAAGCCTACGCACCCTGGCTAACAGGACTGCTGTGGGACCGTTGGCAGGTAAGTCCAAATCTGCCGAGGCAAAAACTGAAAGCATGGCATCAACTTTGTCAAAACCTCCGAGCTCCCCTGCATCTCGCAAGGTCTGGAGAATAGACCAGGCTTCAGGGTCTGTTTCCAATGAATTACTAGCCATGTGGAGCATCGGGTTGGCCCCTTTGCGGTTGGCCTGGATGGCCTTCATGACTCCCGCCCTCAAGGTTTTGAAGTGGGTCTGACCCAAGTGCACAACTGAAATCCCGTGTAATGCTCTAGGCCATGCGAGCATTCTGACCGCTTGCAACTTGGTGCAGTATGGCGACAAGCTTGCCCTGAGCCTTGTCCATACGTCAGGCATGTTCCTAAGTCTGGCCTGAAGGGTAGAATTCCAGGCGTGCTTGGAAAAATTCTGATGCGCTCCCAAATTTCGCGCCGCCAGTGTGACCTGCAGACTCCTTTGGCGAAGGGTCTGCCGTGCCAACGCTTGTGTGCTCCAGACCTTAGTTTTGTGAAAGTCCAGTTCAAGGTCAAGTGCAGAGGTAAAGTCCAAAACTGCTTGCCAGACTGCTGGGAATTGGTCCTGGGATGAAAACAAAACCCCCCAATCATCGATGAAAGCATGAAGTCCAATGCCTGGCTGTGTGGCATTCAGCCAAAGATCCAAAATCCAATCGATAACGACCATCCCAAAAACTGACAACGCACAACCCTCTGGCAAGCCGCATACAGAGGAGACTGGCTCTCCTGTGGAAAGACGCACTTTGAATCTTCTGGTCTGACCAGAGACAAAGGCTACCCACGCACGCAAGACCCCCGTTGGAAATCCAAGAACCCGCAACACAAACCACAGTGGGTACCTAGGTATGGCATTGAAACATCTTCTGATGTCCATCAAGATGCCGCGCAAGGGAACCTCATCCACCAGAGCAGATTCCAAAACTTGGGCTGTAGTGGCTGTAGTGTACCAAACTGACCTAGCCTGCCTTGCTGGAAGGCCACCCTGGACGCTTTGTGGGACAACTGCGGCCAAAACTCTCAAGGCTTCTTTGGCCCTAGCAGACGACCAAACCCGGTACAAGAGGCTGTAGACAGTGACATGCCTATATTCATCCACTGATTGTGCCCCAGGATTTTTTGCTAGGCTGGCTACAAACCCTGAGGCCACCTGTGCTGGCCATGGCAAACCTTGCTCAACCTCATTCAGAAGCTTAACCATTGCTTGTTGTGCTGTTGGCGGCAATGCTGCTAAATCAGGCTGCGAAACTCCATCCGGGCCCTTTGCGGAGACTACTTTCTTGTGGCAAATGAGCTCCATTAACCTGGAAGAAGTCCATGGGGTGACCGGCCATTGCAGAGGATGCAAGGCACGCTCTATGAAGCCACAGATCTGGTCCCATTGGCCTGGTGCCACATGTGAAGTCTTATTCCACCTCGGCTCCCATGTTAGTCGGAAGCGTTGCAAGATGGCAGCATCTGTCATGACAACTCTTTCCTGAGTTAGCACCTGACCTGGAGCCATCCCTTCAACTGAAGGTAACCACACCTGATCATGTTCATGAACCAACACTTCCTGGGCTTGGCCATGGATGACGACAGGAAGACCTGGCAACAACTCAACTGGGCGAACCAACACTACAGAGCTATCCTCTGGGCGCACCTCTTCTATATCTACCGCTACTCGGTCCAGCAGGGTGTCCACAACTGGAGGCTGCTCTGCTTTACAGTCTTGAAAAACCAGGTTCATGTCTTCTCGTCGCCTAGCAGTACCATACTGGTAGCGTCGTTGGGCCAGGCGCCCTTCATAGTCTTTGACAAAACTTTGGAAACCCTCAAACAAAGATTGGACCACCTCAAATTCCGGCAGAAAATAAGGCAGTGCTGACGGTGTGGCCAGCGTAAATCCAATTCCATGCTGGGCCCACCATTGTGCAAAACCATCTGGAAAACCCGCCGCACCCCTGATGGCACGCCATGTCTCCTGGGCATTGGTAACTGCATTGCATGTGGCAAGGCCCTTGCGCAACAGCTGGGTGAGCGCTTGCAGTCGCCTTAGCTGTCGAAAAAACCTGGCATGCTGCAGACTAATACCGAAGTATTTGGGCTGAACTTCCCCTTCCCGCCCCAATTTTGGTGGTGACCCTTGCCATTTGCGCACCTGGGTATCCAGAGTTTGTGCCCTCCCGCACTGAGCCCTAGAGGTAAATTGACCCTGCTGCGCATTCCAACACTGGGCTTGTGTTTCCAGCTGTTGCCAAAATTGTGCATAGGCTATGGTTGGGTCTGCTGTGGCATCAAAATCCAACTGGCAATCCCAATTGGTAGGCCACGGGAAAGGGTGTGGCTGCCGCCATACCTGGCTGACTTGCTGCTTGCCATGCATCTTGAAGGTGGCTTCTACGGTGGCATGATCAGCCCATTTATCCCATGCAATAACAACCTCATTCAGCACGGCCTGAAGCTCGGTTGAGATCCACATCTGATCAATCCTTTTGGTACCTCTGCCGGTCGGGCTGACCGAAACCCCTTTTCTCCATGCCCAAAGATCCTGCACTTCACGGAAACCATATTCGTGGAGTCTTTGCGCCTGGCTGAGTTCATGGGTTGCATAATTGAAGTCACCACAAATGATTCTTGGCCCCGATGCTTGACATGCCACTCGATCAATAAGGTCAGCCAGCATTGTTTCTGTCTGATACCGTGCAAAATGATGTGTGGCATTGCATGGAACCCCATACAGCATACCTATGGTGACCCAATCAGAACCTACCATCATCCCTGCTACTTGCATGCGGCCAGTTGCAAAGCTTTCAGGGTCAAAATTGCGCGGCAGAGCTCTGGCAGGGTATGAGGATACCAGCAAGACCCCTGAGTGAACTCCAGCCTGGCCTGTCTTCCTAACTGGACATGGTGCACCAGGTATCAAATATTTCCATTTGGTCTTCAAACGCTGGAGGCCTTTCTTGAACGACCGAAAACACTGCTTTGAGAGATGTGTTTCGGAAAAAACCCATGCTTGGCCCTCTTGGTGGGCGACCTGGTCAACCTTTGTGGTAAGGCCTGAAGCATTGGCAAGTCCAAAAGTCCATGTGTCTGACTCGGGAACCGGACCCGGGTGAGCTGCTTCACCGATACGAAAAAGACCCCCCAAAACGCAAAACCAAAACATCCAACAGAAGCTACCTCTCCGCTGCAAAGCTGACCATTGATGCCCCGGCAAGTCTCGGTGCGGGGCGGGTTTGGCCATGGGCTTTTCATCCAACATGGCTACTCCTCCAGAAAAACAAGTCCTGTGTGGACCAAGCTGCGAGCATTTGGAGTCCAAAACTGAAAGACGGCCAAAATGGCCCAAAGGTGAAAAGCCCTTTGTGCGGGCGTTCGCATGGCATGTGTGCATTGATGTGCTTGACCCTCCCTTCTGAGCTCTGTTGACTGGACCAAAGATGCTCCAACCCTGACACCATCTCTTCAGGACCCCCTGGACTATCAACCAACCTAACATATGCAATGCGTGGCCGGCAATCCAAAAGGCCAAGAGCCAGACGAGTAGTCCAACGTGGCTCCCAAACACTTGACTCAAAGTGCAATCAAGATACCTGACCCATAAACACAGTACACCCTGTGCTACCACTCCACATCCTACCTGGTGAACATGTTGAGGCAGTTGTTTCGACTGTGTCTGTGCTCTTACAGTGGTTGAACGTCTGACACCTGAGGCACACTTGATGTTAGAGTGCAGCTGGGCTGCTGCTTCTATGCATCCCAGTCCAATTCCCATCAAACTGCCTAACCCCTGTGCAAGGTTTCCACTGCCGAGCCAAGCCTTGTATCCGTGCCCTTCTCTGTCATGCTCCATGCGCAAAGTCCAAGTTCTACCATCCCCGCTTTCTGAGCGAAAACATGGGAACTCCAAAAATGCAAAAACGCCAAAATGGCCAAAAACATGTGAAACCCATGATCGTACTCCCATTTGGCCCCTCTCCTGGTGAGAAAATGGACCAGTGCTCACCTGTGCCGCACCTTCATTCCCTTGCTGAACCCCTTCACCAAACGCCCCAAACGACCAAGGACAAGAGTGCAATCCAAATGGCCAGAAGCCCACCAAGTCCAACGAGGGCAAGTACCCAAAGACAAAGAACTCCCATGACAAACGCAAGGCCGTGGTGACCACCAACCCTTGTTACCGAATCACCCATGGTAGTCAGCTGTGTGACTGGGCACCATCACTCCTGCCTCGCACGCTTGGTAAGAAGGCTTTCAAATTGATTCATCTGCTTTTGAAACATACCATCCAACATCGACTGCTGATGAACCACTTGCTGACGAAACTGCTCCTGAAACGTGTCATGAAAACCCTGGATTTGACAGGCTTGTGCTTGGATGGCTGCATCAAATTGCGAATGCTGCTGCTGAAGCTGTGTGTGAACCTCCTGCAGTTGCTGTGAGTGTTCGACATGATGCTGCTGCACTGTGTGGCCCAAGTTCTGCGTATGGCTGTGGAGCTCTTTCATCTGCTGTTCCAACTGGCTAACTCGATCTGGCTGGCCATCATCTTGATCCACCTCCATTCCCTTTGTAGGCATCTGTGCCAACACCGCTGCAACCACCCGCTGCTCCATATCCTCAATGGGATTGCCAATCTGGATTGGCACTGGTCCTGCTTTGTTTGCTTTGAGCGCTGGTGCCCACGGGTCGTGAATCTGCAAATGATCCACCTCATGTTCTTTGGTGACCATGGCCACTGTGGCCGGAGATGCCAACACCTTTGGGACCAACGGCATGTTGTCAGGAGGAAGCCCCTCTTGTGTAACCACCACATCACCATGAGTGATGTGCAGCACTTTCGATGGCGGTGGTGACACTGCATGAACCCTGTACATCAACCCTTGCAAGTGGTCATGTGTTCCTACCGGCTGAACGGGCCTGGCCACCCATCCACTCTGTGCCAATGCATGGGCAACTGAAGACTTCAAAGTTCCAAAAGGGAAAGGCCCCACTAGGTACGAATGCTTGTTGCCAGATGGCAGGTATGTTTGACCTGGCTTGACCTTGGCATATACCTCGGCTGCATTGGAAATCTGGCATCGCAACCCTAGTTTCGACCCCATCCTGGCCAGCCCACAAACTGCTGGAATGGACTGACGCTGCATCATGAGCTGCGAAATGTCGGTCTTTGCAATCCAAATCACCTGAAACTGCACAGATGGCTTCTTGCCATCCAGTGACCGGGGTTCCAGAAAGACACCTTGAAAACCACTGAAGGCTTGGACCTGACATTGAAGGACTTCTGGCAATCTCAGGTGTACCCCAAAGACTTCGGCCTGATCAGAAGGGCAGTACTGATAGTTGAGCTTCATCCATTGTTTTCCCCATGCTTCCAAAACCGGTGAGGCAACTGGGTACTGTTGTGTCTGGTGCCATGCTTCACAACCTGGACATTCATCATCTTCACATGGTTGCAGCGGACTGACCTTGCTAAAGATGTGTCTCAAAGGGTGCGCACAGACCTGCTGCCAATTTTCCTCAGTCATGTCACGAAAAACCAATGCCTTCACGACACATGTCGCAACTGCTTTCACTGTGCATCCTGCTGGTGGCATTGAGCGCTTCACATGTTGTGCCCCAAGCTGATACAAAAGTCCATCAACTAACAACGGCTCTGAATTTGCTGTGCACATCAAAGGAACCCTGACTGAGGACACTGGCAAGGTGGTGACCGACGGGACAGTGGAATCCACAACAAAGAGACCCAAGGCTCCTGCAGACATGCATCGGTTGGCTTTCAAGTAGGGTTCTGCCATGGCTTGGTTGAGCACCACGACCCCTGAAACTTGCGGCCCAATGCTGGCGACTGCAACTTGACTCAAAGCTTGGTCTTGCTGATCCTGGAAGAGGCCCGGTTCCAAGCGCAGCATGCTGGCATCAAGGCTGGGCGCATGCTTGCCTTTCCCTTGACCCTTAGGTCTCTTGTGGCGTTTGTTGCCCACTTGGAATGTGCCACCCCTTTTCTCAATGGCCCTCTGCAGCTCAGATGGTTTAATCAACACCAGCGGTGGTCGCATTTGATTCGCCAACCATTTGAGCTCTCTCCATGCATTGTTCGCCTGCAAGGCCGCACTGACATGGGTATCTCCCAACTGTTGCATCAAATCTTTGGCCCGTGCAAGGGACTCACCTGCATCAACCCCATGTTCACTGAGCAAAGAAGCCAGTTGGTCCACCACTGGAAGTCCAAGGGCAGCCAACTGGGGACGGAGACACAGATCGGACAACCCTGACGCAAACTCCTGCCTCAGTTGTTTTGCAACACATTCCAACTCAACCAGTGATGACGGAAAAGATTCACCCCAGAGCAAGTGCTTTGCAAACGACAGGACAAGCGCACCACAATGACCAGACAGAACAAAGGAGACCAGCTTGTTGCACCACTGGCCTTCAACTCCTCTCAAGCTACCCATGGTGGTTGCCAAAGTTTCAAACACCTGTACATGGGCGGGGACAACCCCACAAGTGAACAGTCTGACAACCTCAGCGTCCATACGCCACACCAAGGGATACCAATGATGATCAACCATGATTGCTGTGAGGACCGTTGCAACTGGGCCTAGCATGTCACACAACTTTGCCCATGTGTGATCATTGGGAGACAAAACCAAACCGGTGAGAAGGAGGGGATCCCAAACCAATACATGTTGATCATGGTCAGTGTGTTGTGCAATGCCCTGGAGTCCAACCAAAAGCTCATCATCTCCCCAAACTGGTCCTTGCAAGCTCAAGATGGCTTCACGTTCAATCTTGGTCATCTGGGACGCTCTCTTTTGCGACAGTTGGTCAACAGAAGTAACCGCGTAAACATTCCAATCCCTTCCCGGCTGCTCATGACACTCAGCCAAGACATCACTGGGGGACAGACAACAAGGCACGACAGGACTGGAATTCCACGGCGCTTCAAAACCCTTAGGGGCCACTCCAATCTCAACTCCATCAACCAGCGGCTGGCTTAAGTCCAATGCCTGTGCATTTTGCCAAAGCATCAACTCGGCTGCCTTACCCGTAAGGATCTGTTCAGCTTCCAAGAGTTCACGACCTGTGGTTCCTTCAGGGCAAGCTACGGACACAGGGTCAGACATGTCAGACAACCAACGGACTTGGACACGGATGGTTGGACGTACATCTTCAATGGGATCTTCTGGCTCGGCTGTCAATGGGACTGTGGGAGGAATTGGTTCTGGCCACCAATTCCTGCATGTGCCAATCAGCTCCTTCATGTATGCAGCAAGGACATGATCAGGCTGGCATGGTTGTGTAATTCCATAGAAAACGTCAACATGTCGTTTGACCTGAGACAAGACCCACAAACCAATCATCGGTGACACCGCCTGCCCAATGCCTGCCATGGCTAACCTCAAATTGTGTCCAACGTCAATGCCTGGAATTCCACCAAGCAAAGCCCACATCTCTTGCGGATGCAAGTAACGGCAATGTTGCATGACCCTTTGCATGTGTACCTGCGGTGTGTCAAGTGGCACCAAGACTCCAAAAAGACCACGTGTGCTGATGCGGTGTTCTGACAAGGCTCCCCTACACCCACAAGCACAGGCATAGAGCTGATTGCCTGCTGAGTGAAGCAAGGTTGGACAGGCTTCCCCAAGGCGCAAGAACAGGTTTTCAATACCCCCGGAGGCATATGCATAAAACTTGGAAAGCTCATACAGATTAAGATCAATCTGAGCATGATCTGCCTCTGGCCAGTGACGAATCCCTGGCATGACATCTTGCACTGTGCGGTATTGGTCTAAGATTGGAAAATCCTTCAACTCACAGAGTCCGAGCAGGGGTGCAGTGAGCACACAAAACCAACGAGACCGACGATTGCACCAACCATTCTGAAGGTTGAGAACCTGTTGGGAGATTCGATATCCCGTGGCCAAGGCAAATTGTCTAAGCAGTTGCTGCACTTCCGCATCACTTTGGATCTCTGGCACACATTCCAACACCACTACTGGACACTGAAGATTCCAGGCCAAATTCAAGGTCTTGGGCAGTGACTCCGCACGGCAATCCGACATCCCACCTTTGTCTCCCAGCTTGGAGTGTGGCTGGCATGCTATCCCTGAAAGCAAAGTAGCATAAAAACCCCCTTTGGCTGCAAGGCTCGACGCAACATGCAAGTCAGACAGATCACCAACCACCAAGGACGCTCCCTTGTGCAGTGCTGAGAACAGAGGCGACCAAGCTTTGTTACAATCAACCCCACACAGAACTTGCAACCCTAGACGTGCCGCTTCTTTGGAAAATCCACCCAAACCTGAACAGACCTCAATCACACTGGACGACGAGTGAAATTCACAGTCAGGCAAGGCATGAACCCAGGCATGTTCATCTATGCGCAAGGCGCAAGGTGGTGGGGGATACTGATGTCACCTCCAAACCAATGCCAGACAGAACCCTACCCTCAGGGAGTGAACCATTGATCCAAAAACGATGCCCTGGTCGGTCACATGAAAATGCTACATGTTTTCCACTTTCAACATCTCTACAAATGACAGTGAAAACAACCGGGATTCTTTGCCCCTTAGTCAGCATGCTCCATGAACCAGGGATGAAGATGGGCCCCATTGCAAACGGCCACGGCAAGACTCACCTCAGGATTAGTCAGAGCCGCCCTACCTCTGGAAGGTTCCTGAGCCCGGGCTCGTGTAGTGGATTAGTCGTTGGCGCATAAAACAGAATCCAGCCGATGTTTTCAATCTTTCTGCATTCCCACATCTGGATTGGGTGGCAAGGCCAATTTGGAAAACTGCTCGTGTAAGTTTGGTAGTTGACATGTAGCAAAATTCGTTCTTTTACAGCATCAACGTCGACAACCACTGGCGACAAACGTCTTTTACGCCTTTACTGAACCGTAATTTCATTTTTGGTCCTGCTGTGTTCTTTTCCTCCTTTCTGTTTTGCTTGCCTCTTTCTCCCCCTTGACTCCTTGCTTCTTCTGCGCGCCACCTTCCGCGGCGTTCCTTCCTGGGTGTTGCTTAAGTGTAGTTAAGTGTTCCGCAGCGAGTACGCCTAGTCGTTAAGTCGATTTAGCCACGACCCTACGTTTCGAGGTGAATTTAAACGTTAACGACGTGGATCAAAAAAAATATCTGATTTACCCTCTTTCTATACTTTTCTATTGCGTCGGCATAACGTACTATATGAAATGTTTATTTGTTATGGCAGGAATTTTTCATACTAGTTGTAACTGTTTATGCGAAACGGCAGAACGAATTTGTGGCCATGATAGAGGTTTGTTGTGATGAAGCAGACGCTACGTATCTTACCTCAAGAATTGTTCAGCAACTTGTCTTCAAAGGCACTGTGTTAGGAATGAGCCGGCAAGCAAGCAAGTCAGCCAGCTAGGAATGGATTGAGACTAAAGCATGTTCCTGCGCGACCAGTTTTGCACAGCCTTCTGCAGGTGGTGTTTTACGACAGTAGAACAGAATGCCCCAACATTCCTGGGAATCTAAAGTGGAATCACATTGGTTCGCTGAGTTAACTGCATTCCAGCTTCTTGTGCAAAGTAGCTGCGTCAGTTGTGCCTAAACTTCTGGTGCAAGGTATTACCCCATGGATACGTCTGTTCTTCTTCTTCTCACGTAGATATGGGACGGAATTCTAGATCCCGATCGGCCAGACGAGCACACAGAGAATCAGGAAGACGTAGATCACCTCGTCGGAGCCCCAGAGAACGTTCTTCTCGTCGGAGCCCTAGAGAAGATTCACGTCACCGTTCCGACCACAAAAGATCGCAGACGGACAGATTCGATCCCCCCGTCATCATGGAATAGCAGTGACACTCATTGGTATACCAAAACAGAGTATGGGTTAAACTTTCCCAAGAGAGTGGAATCCACTCAATTCAGTCGTCGGCAAAATCTTGCCGGGCAAGAAATTACTCAAGTCAAGCTTGTAGATGTCGTTCAAAGTGGTAGCGTCAATTGGGGACTTCGTCTTGTGGCAAATGGCAGATTTGTTTCATGTGAATTCTTGAGTTTGGAAAGTCCGGCGAATTTCAAAGGCGACGTTTTTCGATCACGTGGAGGCGGAATTCATTGCTGGGTTCAAGTCTGTCGCCATTTACCGCTAATCTGAACTTGTTTTCTATTTCCAGGACTACTTTCTATCACATAGTTTCCTTGAATGTCAGACCTCACATTTCAACTTTTTAGTTGTATGCTTGCGTTGTGCTCCTACCATTGTCGGGACCTCAAGTTTGCCATGAGCATGCTTCTGCTCAAAGTGTCGTGAGTACTCAGGTACCTTGTAGCATAGTATTGCATGTCTGGTTCTCTTTTGACCACAGCACTTAACCTTCACGCACAAATGGTTTCTTTTCATATCATACCCATGCTGCGAGTCATCAGTCCGGTCTTGGAACGTTTGGTCACTGAACCGAATTCATCACGATCACCGGTCGGGTGCCTAGTATTGAGAAAGTACCATAGTCCAAGATGACACTCGTGAAGATTCTGAAACGGTCGGGGCCCCTGCCATTTCTGATAGTGTTTGTGATGATCCAGGACTGGCGTTCTGCTACTTGAGTGACAGGTTGAGTCCGACGATTGAACTGCTCGTTTTTTGTCTCTCGTCGCCCTACGGGGCTTGTGTGTGTGTGAAACCCGTTATCACATACGGATTCCTTTTACATCAGTTTTGTCCAGCAATGCAGGGGAGATGATGTAACTGTGTGCTTAGATTTACCACGTTTGAGACCCGTGACCATGGGAACTCAGACAGCAGCAGTGACTGAAGCGTTTCAGGCCGATTCAAAGAAAGGAACCTGGAATACAACATGTAAATATGAGGTAACATGTAAATATGAGGTAACTGAGTGCTTAGATTTACCACGGTTGAGATCCGTGACCGTGGAAACTTAGACGGCAGCAGTGACTGAAGCGTTTCAGGCCGATTCGAAGAAAGGAATCTTGAATACAACATGTAAATAAATAAATAAGTACATAGATCAACCGCAACTTTTAATTCAGAAATGCAGGGGGGCAGAGGGGACTTGCAAAGCTCTGCCCAACGAAGCTCTCTGCAAGCATCCCAGGAAGCACGGATTGATCACCCGTGTGTACCTGCGCCAACCAGTTTGAACTTTTGATTTCTGTTCCTGTTCAACGCTGTGCAGTGTTTCGTTTCACATAATTTTATGAAATTTTGTGAGCTACAGACTGGAGGTAGTAAAACCAATGGTTCTTGCAATTAATCCTCATTTTATCCTCACTTGGAAACCTCATCGAAGGTCACCTAGGAATCAGGCAACGGCAAGCTCTACCTTCATCATCTCCAAATCAACCTAAGCAGTGTGTGTGTGTGTGTCGGTTTTCCATATTTCAAGCAGCAGACACCACGTCAGCACCTGTCTGGTGCGTTCTGTATGCTGAAGAACCGCCTTGCCATGGGAGCTCACATCAGAGATGTCATTCTGAGCACTTGTCACCCAAAGCCATGCTCTAGAATTTTGAGAGGGGAGTAGCCAATTGCTGCAGGTAAGTCTTAGTGGGTTTCAACTGCTGCTTCGTAAATGTTTTGGGTCCAGCAGGGCCCATGGTCCAAGGTTCAAGTTTCAAATGCATCTTAAGAGCGAAGCAGCAGCTGCATCATTGCTGTTCGAACATTGTGGACTTTGGGATTGGTGTGCAGCGACAAAAATGGAAAAGGACAATGCATTGCCACATTACGAATGCCATCAATCGATTGTCACATGTAACTGTCTAGATCCTTTTTTCATTTTTTCCCTGCCTTATCTTTGAGCCTGTCTGCATTTGTGTGGCAGATGATATCGCACTGGAGCCAGGGGCAGACCTGCAAGCAACATCAAGCAACCAACAAACGAGAAAAAGAGCAGCATTGCTTGAAGCAAAGAGGAAAGAAACCAAGGTCAAGCCACCCATTTGCTTATTTTTTCGGGCTGGTCGAAATTCTCACCCAGGAAGAAGCACTTGGATATGTGCAGATCATTGGGAGAGAACAAGCAGAAAATGAATCAACATGAAACGCGTTTGTTTGCCTGTGTTCATTTGCTTGTTTGCTAGCTCTCAATCTATTTCTCCATTGGTTTTTGCCTTTGCAATGGCTTGAGTTGTTGCATTTGGTCTGCCGTGTTCAATTCCTTTTCTGTCCTTTTGCTTTTCCAACGTTATCTGCAGCCTCCCGCCCAGTTTGACATCATTGAATGACATCATTGAATGTAAGCCAGGGTATTTGCTTTGCAGACTTGCGCGCGTGATACTTCATAACTTTAGCGATATTGGCATCAACTTGGCGGGTGCCTGCAAAATGTTTGCCGAGAGTTCGTGAGAGTTCCACATCGTTTGTGCCGTGCAAAGAGCGGCCAGGTTGCGAAACGCTATGTAGACATGCGCACAACAGAAGTTCGAACTTAATGCAGGCACAAATTTGAATTATATATTCATTTGTGTTTGCAAGCTCCTCCACTTTTTCATTTCTCTTGGCAAGGTGAGCAAGGCTAAAACCTAGAATTGTATTCGCAGATTATATACTTATATCAATAGCATATCTTTGAATGTATTTGACCTAGTAGCCCATTATTCTGCAACTTTCCGTTCAAAAACACCCGTACAGTGCTAGTTTGTAAGAAACACACTCTCCAATAATGCAGAGAGATTGAGATTGAGATAGAGAAAGAAAGAGAGAGAGAGAGAGAGAGACAGACAGAGACCTCAGAGTGACTGAAAAAAAAACCGGCACCAGGCTTTCCGGCTTTCCGAGTAACCAATCATTGATGGTCAAGGCAGTGAAAGATATGGAATTCTTGTTCTGCATTGTAGCTCTTCTTGTTTGTTTTTTTACATTTTTGTTCCCTTCTCAAATTGTTTGGCGCTGGAATCTCGTTGGATACCCTTGCCTGTTTGCTCAGTTTTCATTGTTTTTTCCGAGGCATGTGACTCTGGTCAAGGAGCCGTTTTTTTGTCTGTGGCACGTGGGAAGGTGCATGTGGGGAAGGGCAGTTCTTCGGAACAAAGCGCTAAGTAGCAGATGATGACGGGTTTGTGGCAGCCTCGGATAGCGGAATGCAGCTGATGCAATGGTAAAGGAACGAAATACATCCTTTGGTTGAGCAAGGCAGGTGCTGCATGGCTGATACATGATATCACATGATGGATCTATGTCAATCTGTGTGATCTATGTACTATATATGTACCTTTTTTCTCTCATTCTGGCAGGTTGCTGAAGGAATCGACTTTGATCGACATTATGGCCGTTGTGTCGTTCTGTTTGGTGTGCCCTTCCAATACACATTGTCGAGGGAGCTGAGAGCCAGGCTTGGGTCAAACTGACCTTGACCAGATAGGATCAGCAATGATCAGCATGTTTAATGTTCATGATTTTCTCATTCGTCTCTTTGCAATTCTTTGCATTCTCATTGCTTACAATTGCTGCCGTTGGAGTGAGACCAGTGAAGGAACTGATCATATCAAATCCTGATTGCCAAACAGAGGCATTCCAACTCAGAAATGCGTATATATATATATATATATTGTATATATTACTTTTTACATATACATTTGTTATATACAATACTTATCCAATTTATATATGCATAATGTATGCAATTGTGATACTGGTATTGTGATCAGTTGTGCCAGACTGCAGGTTGGAGTTCCTCCGTCAGCACTATGATATCAAGGAGAGCGTGTTTGGCCTGGCAATACATTGATTTGTATCAATTAGTGTAGTGTGTCCCATAGCGTCTCAATCCTTTTTATTGTGATTTGTTGTGTGTTTTTGATTGTGTTGTGTATATTTCATCATGTTCACAATGCAAGGGGATAAGGGCGCCAAGAGAGTGCTGTCGATTCAGCTGCGAGGAGTCCGAATTTCTAAATTTTGACGCGATGCGGCAAGCATCACAGTGTCTAGGCCGAGTCATTCGTTCCAAACGTGACCTGACTGCAATTTGGACGAAGACCTTGTCAAAGCATTGAAGAACATCAAAAGGCATAGATTGCGGTTGGATAGTGGAAAGTAGCATATTGCTTTGCACAAATGTTGCACCACTTAAGTACAAAGCTAGCAAAAACTGTGTATACTTATTAAATCTTATTAATATTATTGCAGCGCTTGCGGGAGCAAATTGACCTCGTCATTCCATATGTTTGACACTTTTTACATAACATATACGTATATGGTCACCGACAGAATTATGGAAAAAAAAACGTTCAACTTAGACAGGCGGCGCCTGCGTCCGATTTTTCCATAATTAGGTTTTTCCCCATAAGGGTTCAAAATATCCCGGAAGTGATCCGAACCTTTTTTTTTCCATAATTCTTGGAGGTGGCCACTATTTCCATAATTGTTTTTTCCTGTAAAATCAGGGGGCTAGGGCAGATTGACCGGTTTTTCCATAATTATTTTTTTCCGTAATTATTTTTTCCATAATTATTTTTTCCATAATTAATGTTTGGGGCTCCACCTGTTGGACATGTCATGGATCCATAATTCAAACCCCTTTTTTGGGGGGGTTATGGAAATATGTATGCAAATGCAAGTATGTAGTATCAACCCAATTGGTGGCTTGGCAAAAGGATACATCCCGCATATGTATGTACGTACAACAATGAGTTTTGGTGGTGCAATTGTTTTTCCTTTGTTAGTACCACTATGGCAGACTTAGGGGCATATACCAGATCTTTAGACACATATTTTCTATAATTCAATATTCCCCATTAAAATGCATTCAAATTGCGAATCGATGGACATACAGTCACCGACAGAATTATGGAAAAAAATAATTATGGAAAAAAATAATTATGGAAAAAAAAGGTTCGTAACTTTTCCATCGTAGACAGGCGGCACCTGTAAATTGAAACTTTTTTTTTCCATAATTCTGTCGGTGACTGTATATATATATATATATGTGTGTGTGCGTGTATGCAGATAATGTCATTATACATCCATATTCTCCAAGGTTTCCAAAGATCTCAGCCCACTTTGTCAATGCACATGGGGATCCTTCACACCAACAAAAGCGCGTTGCTTTACAAGGTGACTACGGTGTGATGATTTTTGCAGACCAGCGGTATGCTAGAAGCGATAAGCGCTCAAAAATCCCAGATTGGAATCTTGGTTCGATGGCCACCTTTGGACTCGGTGGGTCTTGGTATGACATCTCTTGGGAGGTTCCCAGATTTCATGCCTGAAAACGCGCCCCCGAGGTCACACCAAAACGGAGACGGATTATGTCTGATGTTATTGGACATCTTTGGACTCACCTGTCTTTATCCTCTTGGTCCTCTTGAGTTGAAAGAGCGACTTGAGAGTCCTTGTGTGAGTTTGTGACCTTCAATAGACAATTTGGGGCCTTTGGCCTCAACGTCAACGTGGCCAATTCATATTAATGCACGATCTGTACCGATTTACCATGCAATTCATGTCTAATTCGATTGTCCAAGTTTCTATTAAATTAAGCAGCAGCCTTTGTTGGCAGGTCTCCTCTCTCTCTCTCTCTCTGTCTAACTTCCGTGGCTGAGACATTTTGGGTCTTGTTCTAGGTAGAAGGCGATTGAAGGCGACTGGGGTGATGATGTGATGGTTTCATTTGCCGTATAATTATCCACCTGAGGATCCGGCATTTCTTGGAGCCAGGGCATGTTTTTATGGCCACGGACCTTGCAGTGGAAGCAGCTGGAAACTTTTTATTGCAGATGTCTCAACCATATGAAGCTTGGCTGTTGCAGTTCGGTGGTGGAACCACGCTGTATTCAAATCATTCCAGATAGCGAAAGCGAGCCGCTACCATCAATCAATGCATGGTCAGGTGTATGGTTGTGATATCCCATGTGATGCGAATCCAAGGAAGAGAAGAAGGGCATTGGAGCTTCCGTTCTGACGCCAGAAGCACTCAAGGATGACTTGTGGGCTGATCAGCGTATGACCTGTGTGGCCAACCCAACGGAGACGATGAGAGACACCAAACAAACAAACCATGACATGTAGAAATGTAGTAGGATGATGTATGATGTAGATCGATGCAGTACACGAACTTCATACATGTTTAATCATGTTTAATGCCTAAAGGTTCCATCATGTTCCGTGGCATTCTGCAAGATCCTCAAGTCAGTTGCAGGGTCCACTCCCTCGCTTTCGACTCACGTGGCAAGGAGCTTCAAGCAGAGGATTCCAAAGCCAAAGAAGTTGATACGTCCGAGGCAAAGCCGGAGAAGCTTGGCAGAACATGACAGAACCTGGCAGAACTTCGAAATATATATCATGTCGGATGCCTTCCAATTTTGTCAGCCTTGCTCTTGGATGATTCTTGGATATTCGTAGATACTCTTGGTGTCGCAACGTGTTGATTTGGCTTAGGACAAGCACACCAGACAGGCCAGAGGCTCCAAAGCGGCTGCGCATAGAAGGTTCAAAAGTCTTAGCACCTTCGCGTGGCTAAATTGCAGTGTGTGTGCAACACATGCGCTGGCAAAGCCATTGGCAAATGCTGGCAATGCTGGCAACCTGATCTCGATCTCAACGATTCCACGATGCGTGTGGAGTCATGCGCAGTCTAGTACAGTCTAGCTGTGCTGGTTGCATCATCTCGGAACAAATTCGGATTCAGCAACTTATGTGGATTCAGCAACAAATGATTCCGCAACTTATTTGGTCGGATTCAGCAATTAATATGGTCGGATTCAGCAACAAATCTGGTTGGATTCAGCAAGTAATCCGATTCAGAAACTAATGTGTTCGGATTCAGAAACTAATGATTCAGAAACAAATGTCTTCAGATTCAGAAAATAATTCTTTCGGATACAGAAACTAAAGATTTCGGATTCAGAAGCTAATAATTCAGAAACTAACTATTCAGAAGCAAATGATTCGTCAAGCAGAAACAAATGAGACAGTACATGCATGAGTCATGTCTTAATCTCCCCCTCAGCTGACACATCAAAATTGCCACCCGCCCTCTAACAAATATTTATGCGCATTCACGTTGATCAACTACCATCAGAATTGCCTCCTCTCTGGACAACACATTCATGTTTACACTAAGACCATTCAAAATTGCCACCCTCCCTGGCAAATACATGCATATTCTTGTTAACCAGCAAAACAAACTTGCCACCCCCTCTGGACAACACGTTCATATTTACACCAGAACAATTCAAAATTGCAACCCCTCTGGCAAATACATGCGTAGTCTTGTTAACTAACAAAACAAACTTGCCACCCCACTCTGAACAACACGTTCGTTCCTTTTTCCACCAGAACAATTCAAATTACCATCCCCGTCTGGCAAATGCATGCATATTCTTGTTAACTAACAAAACAAACTTGACACCCCTCTGGACAACAGGTTCCTTTTTCCACCAGAACAATTCAAAATTGCCACCCCGTCGGGCAAATACATGCAAAGTCTTGTTGACTAATGTGCAGCACGTTCTTATTTACACCCGAACAAATCAAAATTGCCACTGCCCCTGGCAAATACATGCATAGTCTTTTTACCTAACAAAACAAACTTCCCAGAACTTCCTAGATTGCTTAATTAAGCAAGGTTGCTTCATTCAGCAATCTTCATTTAGCACCTCTTCGCGCTTTAGAGTGCTTAATTGAGCAATCTATTTTTCTCTAGATTGCTTCATGAAGCAATCTAGAGATTGCTTAATTAAGCAATCTAGTTTTCTCAATTTTTGCAACATGTGAAGACATTGGCTCAATCATGTGTTTACTTGCATAAATTGCTTCTGCGCCATTGGTGCAAAACGTGTTTCTGGCTTCTCTTTGCATGCATCTTGCAGCAGTGTTGACAACTGCAGAAATTGAGTACTGTGATTGGTGGCATTGGAGCAAAAGAAAAAACTAGCTAGACTAGGTTTGTAAAATGTCAAAGGGAAAGAAGTGGTAGATGTATAGTAGGGTGAATCAAATAATTGTTGGGGAGCAAACAGGTGATTTGTGTTGGTAGATGTTGTGACTTAAATACCATGCTTTATTGGTAAAAGAAGCTTGAACTTGTCGGAGTGACCCAGCACAAGCTGAGAGAATCCTTTCCGTGACATTCACCCAATACCTGTTCGGAAGAACAGATCCTTTCGAGATTCGGATTCCGTAGCTGCAAAGCTCGAAGAATGCAAAGTTTCAGGATTGAGATTTGAACTTGCACTGGGTTAAGCTTGAGAAATGGTCTGTTTGCCCCGCAATCTACGCCTGACAGCTGGTTCGAGTGCACTGGATGACTCTGATTTTTGTGAGCTAATGTTGTTATCAACAGAGATGGGTTTGCAAACAGTCTTCGGGAGGTTGTTGACCCGGTCTTTCCATTTCCAAGTCCGCCCGCAAGCTTTACAATTAAGGATACCTTCATCAGGTGGCTTTTTGCCAACTTTGTATAATTCCATTCGAGCACATGCTTCCCTTTATTGTATTTTTCGTATTGTCTTGAAAAGCTTTTTGCAACCTGTTCTGATTATTGTGTTTTCCAGGCTGGTCAACATATTGGCTAGGCGGAACATGTTCGAACTCGCAACGCTTGCCAGTAATCTTCAGTTTGATGTGACCAAGATTTGTCACATGTTTTTCACACTTCTGGCAAAACACGCCTAGTCCATCGGCTTTGAACGCGAGAGAATGACCGTTAGTATTTTTGGGCGGTTCGGGATAATCACTGCTTTCACCGACATCTGGGTCATTCGGTGGTGTATCGTTGTCCTCTCCGTAGAACCTCTCAATATGCGGTTGCCATATTTGAACGAGAGTGGACTGCAAAAGAATAACTTCATCTTGTGTCAAGGAAGTGTCTTTTAAAGCAACGGCAGCATATCGAGTGACAACTGGTAAATTTTGGATATGGGGGTTCAAATCTAAGGAGCACAGGCTGTCGGATGTGATCGACATGTTTGCATCTCCAACTGACATGTTCAACAGTACTTTCCTCTCCAAGACCATATTCACATACATGAATTTCACCATGTCTCCGATGTCTGCGGATTCTTGCTTGTGTCAGCAAGCCCCCCGCAAGCATTCTGCGTAACACTGCAAGTTTCATCCATGCTTCCTCTGGTGTGAGCTGTAGACCCGGATGGCCTGTGCCATCTGCGACTTGTTGTAGCATGTCATGGAACATCATTGTCATATTCCTATCAATCTTTGTTGCATGTTGATATTGATGTGACCTTTCTTTTTCGAGTTGTCTGAGAAGATTCTGTCTCCATTGTTCTCTGAGATTATGCTTCCACAGCTCAGGGTTATCAATTTGATTCAGCAAGAGTTGTTGGATTGGTTCACTCAGAGGGCCATCTACAAGCTCCTGGATTCGTGCGCAAGGTCCTACTGTTTCGGCAACACCTGATGCAAGAATTTCCTGAACCAGCCTGGCGCTTTGTGCACAACTGGAAATGCATCTTTGAAAGCTCAGGGGACCTGCGTATTGCATAGCAAATGTTGGCTCAAGTTGTACAGGCACTAGTAGTGCAAAGGTTAACAAGGGAGACATGGAGTAAAAGTCAGCGTTGTAGAAAGTTCGCATGGGTGATGATCGAACTAAATTTAATGCTTTGATGTCATTTGGCAGTTGATGTGCACCTTGTCCCCAGGTGGCCTGGGATTGGGTGCTTAGTAGAGTTTTGACCTTTTCTGGCCACGACAGGGGGAGACATCTGACTTTGGCTATTGTGTTTTTCCATTTGTCTAATCGTTTTTGCTCAAGTTTGGTGAAGCTACCAGTGAGTACTTGTGATACAACGGAGACGCCAACCAATCGGAAATCATTGACATGTTCTATCTGAGGGTCGACGGCTCGTTGCAGTGATTGGTCTCCGAAGGTGAAAGTTTTCTTCATGCTGGTATCTCCAAGTCCACACTGCTGATACGATGTATCAATGTCATGGAAATGTCTGGTCTGTTGCAAGAGTTCCGCTGGATCTTCGGCTGAACCTTCACCGCTGATGTCATCTGCATAGGCTCGACCAATTAAACACCTGGGAGTGCTATCTGCTTTTTCTAAGATGGCGGCAATCAAACTATTAAGTCCGAGAAGTGATAAGCTGCACCCTTGGATGATGCCATTGGAGGCACGCCAAAATTCGGAAAAAGACCCTTGGATCCTGTACGTTCATGTACGTTCTGCTCAACTGGCTGTACACTCCTTTCATTGAATTGAGAAGCCTGCAGGATGCTCCTCTGGCTTGCAGAGTGCCTAACATCACATTTACAGGTATGACACCGAATGCTTAGCGAAATCATAAGATATGCCCCCGGCTAGCTTGGATTGCGAATGTGCTGCTTCGACTGCAAGTGCAACCCGAAAAGCGAGCGTTTCTGCTGATCGTTTTCGGACACTACCGAAAGCACGGTCGTGGATCCAATGTGCCTGCCAACTTATGCTGTCTCGGAATCTAGTCTTTGAATACAGCCTGTAGATATGGGGTAAAACGCCTATAGGTCGCATATCCATAGGACCAGGAACCGCAGGTCCATCTGGCTTGGGAAGCATCGTGGTATAGCCTGTGACGAGAGATGTTGGCCATTCACCGATTTCTTCTATGAGGTTGAGAAGGCTGGCAAGGTGCGATAACTGGATACCACTTAGACAAGGCAACAAGCTCAGCTATAGGGACCAACCATCCAAAACGGTGGATGATGGTTTGACATCACTCAACGTTTGAATTAGCCGATTGCCAGTTAAGGGATCTAGATACTGCGGATGGCTTTTCATGTGGCTTCCAAAATTCTGGAAAAAGAGATTTGAACCTGCTTGGATGCTGGTTTTTACTTGCGGCACTTATAGATACATACAACTATGGTTGTAAACCACATACAACTATGGATATAAGCCCGCTATGCAGTGGATAAGTAGGATATCTTTTGGAGGCACATATAAGGTATTTGGAGCACATATAGTGCCTATATATGTTGTAAAAGTGATTTTATCTTTTTATGGTGATTTGCTAAGTTTTCACTTTTTTTGATTTCTCAAAAAGATATTTTTGACTTAGGAG